ACCAACAACAATTCTTTGGTTTCCGTTAAGGAACGGTTGATGTATGTAAATTGTGAAGTTGTTAATAAAAGGCCATGATGGCCATTTACTCCAAAAATGGTGTCATGTTTTTGTAAAGTTTATTTGGTTAAAGGGGGGGGGGGGGCTCTGGAGTGTATGGATAGGCAATGGTGGAAGTAGGAGTGGACAAGCCTATCTATGGTGCAGTAGATGTGTAGTCTCAGGAGTTGCTTGTGCCTTAAAGACATTGGATAGTAGGTTTAGACTGATATATACATCAGGAAGGGTTTTTACAAGCCTGATGAGCTTAACTTGTGATTGTGCACCCAGTTGGTTTCAACCCAAGATATATAGGTTTTTTTTCAATATTGATTGTACTTTTATTAAAGAGTAGATTATTAATACAGGATTTATCATTATTATTAATTATACAGGATTTATATGGCGCCAACAGTTTGCTCAGCGCTTTACAATATAAAGGGAGAAAATACAGCAACAATACAGTTCAATACAAGCTACTTGGAGCTTACAATCTAAGAGGTAGGGGCTAATGGTACAAAGGTTAATAACTGTGGGGGATGGAAGAAGATTCCATTGTTAGCTAAGGGCAGGATTGGCTTTCCTGAAGAGATAGCTTTTCAGAGATCGCCTAAAAGTGAGCAGAGTAGGCGATAGTCTGATAAATTGGGGTAGAGAGTTCCAGAGGATGGGGGGAAGCTCTGGAGAAGTCCAGGAGACAAATATGGGAGGAGGAGACAAGAGAGCTAGAGAGCAGGAGGTTGTGTGAGGAGCGGAGAGTACGGTTTGGGTGATATTAGATGAGAAAGGTATGAGCAATATTGCCAGTAAGGATTTTTTTTTTTACATAAAGTCTTCTGTTAGAAAAGTAGACCTGCCAAGCTACTGGTAAAGGTACAATAAACAATCAATAATGTAGATCATTTACCAGCTCTAATTCTCCAAATCTACAAATATAATGGGGCTGCAGAAGAGAGGAAGAGGGAAAAGAAAAAAAGGAAAGAAGAGGAAAACACAAAAAAAAAAACCCCAATAGCATGTGTCAAGCAATTAGTCCTCCTTTCCCACAAGCAAACGCCCTATCACCTTAAAAATGCCAAGGCCCCCCCTACTGATAGTGTCCGGGGGGAGATAACTGAGATAGGTTCAGTGAGGATTTTATCCCAGTATTTATCAATTTAGGAAACTATCAAAGCATTTAGTTCAAGTGTTACATTTATTTGGGGTAATGGTAAGGCAATCCAAATGGACCAATGGACCACACCTTTGACTTTGCAGGGAGTCTCTGGCTTTCGTATGTTGCTGCACAGGGCCTGCACAAGCATAAGGTGGCTTCGGCCGTAGGGTGCCAGGATGGGGGAGCAATAAAATCTGAATCCCCAGCCACTTGCTTCAGATTTTTAACCATTCTGATGGCATGTGTTTTTAACACACTTCCGGCCTGAAGTGTGTGTACTTTTGTAAAGCCAACTGTCGGCTTTCAATGTGGAAGCGATACAAGTGGCTTGTGAAGCTCTGATCAATTCCACAACTGCCATGATGTGTCACTCCCCTGCACAACCCACACGCCATGCTTACCAGGCTCCACTGTCCCACCTGTGGGCCCAGTGTGGTCATGGTGGGTGCTGCTGGAAAGGGCAACTGGGGCTCAACAGACATCCATCTACTGAGCCTCTCTCCTATGCACAGACCAAGAAGTGATATGTATGGCATCACTTCCTGGTCCAGCTCTGATCCCGGTGAAGCAGCTGATGGAACACAATCTGTGTTCTATCAAGTGACGTGGAATACAGAGGAGACATCCGGGGTCTAATAGACCCCAGATGTCTCATAAAGTGTACCTGCTACCTATATGCTATCACATAGGGGACTATTGATCTCCTATGTGATAGCAATATAGTCAGGTAAAAAAAATGCACCTTCACCTGTGTAGACAAAAATCCTTGCACCAGTCACTGTAAACATATAGAGTGTTGATTTGACAAAACAATTCCAAAATGTTACAGTGAGACTGTAATTTCCAATACTGTATGGTTGATTTTCTGGTGTGATATAGTAAAAGGATCAGCAATGACTTCATACCATGAGTCAGGGATATGAGGTATATCAGACCAAGTAAACCTGTTTTTTTTCAGGTGGGATATGTATTGCAGTAATTGTAGAGATCCATTTGAAAAGTAAATCATTGAAAAAATCCATAAATCTGCATTAGGTCTGCAGTTTTGTTCCTATTGAGCATTTTGGTGAAGAGGTAAATTTGAAATGTTGGTATCTAGATGGAGTCAGGTATTTTCTTTGTAGAAACATATAGGGGGAGATTTACTAAAACTGGAGCACTCAGAATCTGGTGCAGCTGTGCATGGTAGCCAATCAGCTTCTAACTTAAGCTTGTTCAACTAAGATTTAACAATAAAACCTGAAAGCTGATTGGTTCTATGCAGAGCTGCACCACATTGTGCAATCTCCAGTTTTTGTAAATAACCCCCAAAATGTATCAATGGGGATTATTTACTAGAACTGCATGGTGCAAAATCTGGTGCAGCTCTGCAGTAAAATCAGTTTCCAGGTTTTATTGTCAAAGCTTCATTGAACAAGCTGAAGTTAGAAGCAGGGGTGGACTGACAACTCATGGGGCCCCCGGGCAATAGGGGATCATGGGGCCCCTGCGTCCTTGCCCACACTCAAAAAAGCCTATAAAAAGGTACCAGGGGCATTTTGTTGGGCCCCCTACTGACCCCGGGCCCTCGGGCAGTGCCCAAGTGCTCGAATGGTCAGTCCGCCCCTGGTTAGAAGTTGATTGGCTATCATGCCCAGCTGCACCAGATTCTGGGTGCTCCTGTTTTAATAAATCTCACCCCTGTGTGTCTAACAAAATAAGTGAGGAGATAATCCCAGATGTCCTCCCAGTCCTCATTATCCAGTTTTTGTATTTCCATTGTCAACGTAGCCTTGCATTTTGTCAGTAGAGCTGTGTTGTGTATTTGGAGTGCAGTAAGGGTTTTAGATAGTACCCTTTTGACATCCAGCTTGCTCCGGGTTAGGGGTACACAGCACTCCACTGGATCTGATTATGGCTGCCGGTACCTGGCCGCTTTGAGCAGAGTGATGATGATCCCAATGTCAACAAAGTTGTTATGAATGAATCTCATTCATAACAGCTGTGCTTTCTATACAATGGTGTTGTGATTGACCTACAGCCAGGGGCGGACTGACAACTCATGGGGCCCCCGGGCAATAGGGGATCATGGCGCCCCTGTGTCCTTGCCCAAACTCAAAAAAGCCTATGAAAAAGGTACCATGGGGCATCTCATTGGGCCCCCTACTAACCCCGAGTTTCCAAATGGTCAGTCCGCCCCTGCCCAAAGCTATCACATGGTACCTGAGCCAATCACAACACCCTGTACCATATGATTAGTTGTATCCAAACAAAGATCACTAGTAATCACAGCCGTTATGAATGAAACTCATTTGTGACAGTACACAGCATTGCTGTTATAATGATCATCTTTTTTAACAGAAAAGTGTAAAAAAAAACAAAGCATAAAACAAAAATTTAAAAAAGAAAAAAATGTTTAAAGCATGTTTTTAATTTTTTTTTAGCAACAGTCAGTGTCCCTGATCACCGCCACACCAGTCATATGACGCTGTAAAAAATTGTGACAATAAAACAATGCCTCTTACTAAATACCATCATTTGGATGGATATATGTACTGTCCTGGCATTTTAAGGGCCTCAAGAATTGAGGGCATCAGTACATCAGAATGGATCCATTTTCAATTGTTCAAATTCAATTGTGTCATAAAACCAAAATCTCAATCCTAAAATTCAGTAAAATAATGTTCTCTCACTTACTGAATACAGCAAAAATGTAATTCCAAAACACTGGAAATACCAAATCCACCTTCAATGGGTGAATGTCTGTGGAGGGCACCCGAAATCTGCCTGATGGAGGAAATTAGAATTGTTAAGCAACATTATTTTTTTACTTTTGACCTCACCTGGTCAGGCTGAATAACTGTCAAGAAAGTTGTCCGCGGTGGCATTGTTCAGTGATTCACTCTGCAGATGGATTGACCTAAGCTTACATTGCTGAATATTTTTCTTTTGAAACAAGAACAGTCACGGAAAAGGTAACTGATTTGCGTGTTCCCCTTGTCTTCTTCTTTTTTTTTTTTTTTTCTTTTTTTCCCTTTTTTGTGTTTAAAAACACTTTAGTCTATGGAGGTTCTGTAATGCTGCTCAGGATAAATTCTGGAGAGTTTTGGGATAGGGACTTCAGTTATTGAGAACGGTGGAGAATGGAGCAAATATACTCAAACACAGCATGGACCTGAGCATGATGTGGTGTCATTTAGATGTAGCAAAAGCAAAACTGAGAGCAGAAGGACACAGAAGACATGATCCTTATTTCCAGCTTAGACATGATCCTTACCTCCAACTCCTTCATCTGATTTCCAAGCTTTATTTTGCCAAATGTTTTTCTTTTATTTGATTTTTTTCTTTTGAAATATTTATGACCCAATCTAAACCTAGAAAGGTCCTTTTATTATTCAAACTATTAAATTATTTGAAAAAAAAAGTAAGTAAATTAATCTGGAGTGCAACGTTATATTCTCTTGGGCTTCACTGAGCTGAATAAAATAATTTGTATTTCCCGTCCTTGGCAGGTGACAGCTGACCACATAATTTGCATGTTTCCTTTTCAGTGTGTGGGGTGCAACACCTCCCGTCTCTCTCTCTATATATCTCATTGTACAGGAGACGTCTTCTAGTTTGGATCTGATCCTCCAGAAACATCAAGATGCTTTCTCCCAGTTATCTGCTGGCTGTCATCTTCATTTCTATTCAGGGTGAGAGATGAGGCTCCTTCCATCCTCCTCTGCACATACATCTATATATTGTACAATAAATACACACATCAGGATTGATAGGAAGATATCCAGACATTGATCAATAATCAATATGTCTCTTCCCATCCTCAGGATCCTGTGGAGAGATTGTGATGACTCAGACTCCGGATTCTATCTCTGTGTCCCCGGGACAGACAGTCACCATCACATGTACATCCAGTAGTACCTTAACCAGTGGTGGTAGCAATTACCTAGCCTGGTATCAACAGAAACCTCACCAACCTCCAAAGCTTCTTATCTATTGGGCCAGTACTCTTCAATCTGGGATCCCAGACAGATTCAGTGGTTCCGGATCTGGAACTGAGTACAAATTAACTATCAAAGGAGCAACTGAAGATGATGAAGCAAAATATCTCTGTCAGCAGACAGGGTGGATACCTCTCACACAGTGATACAGAGCCGTACAAAAACCTCCTTCCTCTTTTCTAAGTTAATGTGAAGATATCTGTGAAAAAACTTAATTGAGAAGTAAAATGTTTTTAATGGTAACAAGAAAAATTAAATGTGAAAAGCATTATTCTCTGTAGATGGCGATGTAATTCATTTGATAACATTCAGCTCCTGCTATAGAGGACACAGAAACCACCCATCAGTATTTTTTTGGGATCCACAAATTATGGTAAAGTCTAAGTTACTAAAAGGTGTTATTTAAGTCACAGGTGCACCCCAATGTGATGAGTTCTCTGCTGATTTCATATTGCTCCATAGAAGAGATCTCCCTGCAATAGTTCAATAGTTGCATTCTCTGTAATGTAAATGAAATTAAGGGGACCTTTAAAGCCATGTTTCTCAAGTAAGTCCCTTACAGCCATGTTGCTCAAGTAATGGGTCGCGACCCAAAAGTGGGTCACAACCAGAAGTGGACTGGGCAAGTGCCCCCCAGGCCTCTCTAATGCCCCAATAAAACATCCGGTGCCCTGACAACATAGCTAAATAAGAACTGCCAGCCGTACTATTATAAATGTTAAGACGGTCGGGGACCGGGGCCGGGACTTTCATTTTTACTAGCGCTGTAATTACTGTACTATCCATTTTGGAAGGAAGCCGTTTGTTTCCTGTTTAAAAAGTGCATATACATTGTAGAATACTGCACACGTTGTTTTGTGGAATAAATTATAATGTTTCCAAAATTCAATTAATTTTGGGTCACAACTAAATGACCAGGGACAAATGTGGGTCCTGCGGTTCCAGAGAACCACTGCCTTAAAGTATAAAGACGCTGCTGGGTTTAAAAGTGACACTAAATTCACAGTTTTTTTCTATTAATCATTCTAAAATTTCAATATCATGGCTCTTTCTTTCTTTCTTTATTTGGAAGTCTTTTACTATTGTTTTGGGGCTTTTTTGTGCTCTGTCCACACTCCTAATCCTCAGCTGATACACCTCGCCACCAGCACAGCGGCTAAATGGTTAGCACTTCTGCCTGGCAGTACTAGCGTTGTTGGTTTGAATCCCTACCATGGCACCACCTGCCTAAAATTTGCATGTTCTCCCTGTGCCTGCGTGGGTTTCCTCCGACTACTCCAGTTCCCTTCCACACTCCAAAGACATGCTGGTAGGTTAATTGGCTCCTGTCTAAATTGTCACTAGTATGTATATGTATGAATGTAAGTTAGGGACCTTAGATTGTACACCCCTTGAGGGTTAGGGACTGATGTGAATGTACACTATATAAGTGAAGCGCTGTGTAAATTGATGGCGCTATATAAGTACCTGAAATAAATAAATAATTTTACTGTAGAGTCAGCATTTCCTTTATATCAGGTCACATGCTCTTCTCTATATGTAGCACAATTCCCATAGCTCTGAATGTAGATGTATAGTCTAACTGAGAGGCGAGCAGAAAGGGGTGACTACATTCACATAAACAAGAAAAGTATGGAGAACGATATCAACCATATTCTGAATATTCAGTGTTAGGTGGAATGGCCCTTGATATCCGTATCTTACTTTTTTATGGATGGGGTAGGACTCTCTCACACCATATTTTTGTAAAGTTTCTCCTCAAACAATCTATTTTTTTTTTATTTCTGTGGTTTCAGATCTGGAACTGAATAATAATTAAAGCTGGTGTGTGGGCAGAATCTTTAGAGGGGGGTTAGCTAGGTAACAGTAAGCTACCTCTAATAATGAGTGTCCGACTGGAAGCTGTTGTTTCTTTCTTGAAAACGTCATCACTGAAGTTCCTGCGATTAAACTGATCACTGGGGTTGGATCAGAGCAGGTCACTCACTGTATAGTTCCTTCATTCAGAAAATGTCTATTATTCTTTTCAAAGGGTACAAGAAGTTCTGTGATTGGACAAGGGGAGATTTGCCATTCATGTACTCTATCTGCTCATACAAAAAAGAGGGAGCTTCATTTTTCTGGTATTTTTTTTAAAAAAAAAATGTTACTATAAAAAAGGCCAAAAACTTAAAAAAAAACTTAATTCTATTAAAAAATGAATGAAATGAATATTCAGCAATTACAGGGTTCAGGGATATTCTGATTGGCTGTTTTCACTTTGCATATACTCTGGATTGTCTAATGATAGCACAATGAAAGGCACAAGAAATGTTTTAAATGACTGATCAGAACTAAAGAGCACAACTGGCCATTTAGTTACAATGACTTGTAATGGCAAGAATGTTAAAATGTAAATAAAACCAACACGTTTCTTATTTTGTTTTAGAGAAAGTAGGGAATGGTAAAAACCCCTATATATAGTACCTTGAAAAAGTATTCATACCCCTTGAAGCTAACACTGCACATCACCCTGGACACACCATCTCCACCATGCAACATGGTGGTGGTAGCATCATGTGGGGTTCTTTTCTTCATCGGGGACAGGGAAGCTGGTGAGAGTTGATTGGAAGATGGATGGAACTAAATACAGGGCAATCTTTGAAGAAAACCTGTTAGAGTCTGCAAAAGACTTGAGACTGGGTGGAGGTTCACCTTCCAGCAGGACAACGGCCCTAAACATACAGCCATAACTACAATGGAATGGTTTAGATCAAAGCATATTCATGTGTTAGAATGGCCCATTCAAAGTCCAGACCTAAATCCAATTGAGAATCTGTGGCAAAACTTGAAAATTGCTGTTCACAGACGCTCTCCATCCAATCTGACAGAGCTTGAGCGATTTTGCAAAGAAGAATGGGCAAGAAGAATGGGCAAAATGTAACCCTCCAGATGTGCAAAGGTGGTAGAGACATCCCCAAAAAGACTTGCAGCTGTAATTGCAGTGAAAGGTGGTTCTACAAAGTATTGACTCCAGGGGGCCGAATACAAATGCACGCCACACTTTGCAGATATTTATTTGTAAAAAATTTTGAAAACCATTTATCATTTTCCTTCCACTTCACAATTATGTGCCACTTTCTGTTGGTCTATCACAATTTCAATATAGAGCAGTACATCTGTGAATTCATTATACCATCAATGAAATGCAGGTCCCGGCACCAGCAGCACTCATGCAGCCCCACAGAAGGACACTGCCACCACCATGTTTCACTGTAGGCATCATACATTTTTTTTGCACTCCTCACCTTTGTGTCGCCATACAGTTTTGAAGCCATCAGTTCCAAAAACAATTATTTTGGTCTCATCACTCAGAGTCCTAGTAGTCTTCTTATTATTTAGCATGGGCCCTGGCAAATTCTAGGCAGGCTTTTTTGTGCATTTGGCTTTCTACTTCTTTAGCTAACTACAGTGAACTTGCATAGCAATTTTCTTCAACCCTTCTTATCAGACAATGCTCCTGTCGAGGTGAACTTCCATGGATGGCCTGGACGTCTCTGTGAGATGGTTGCTATTCCATCAGTGTTAAACTTTTGCATCACTTTTGCTACAGTATTCTAACTGATAAATAAAGCTTTGCTGATCTTATGTAGCCTTCTCAGGCTTTGTGACATTTCTTTTGCATGTAATGACATTGCTGACAGGTCTGGGGATTTGAAATCCCTGTTGCTTTCTCTCCTCTCCTTGCAGGAAAGTACCACAAAGTATTGGTTTCAGGTAACGGAGCATTTTCACGAGTACAAGTACTCGTGAAAATACTCGATATCAGCACCGATACCGGTATCAGTATCGGTGCATCAATAGTTAGATCCCCTAGCAGTCTATTTTTTACTGTGTCCCGCTGGGGATATTTCTGTTCACTACCTGTCCTGGAGACCCAACAGCAAATAAGAGGAAATCATCCCAAAGTGAAGGGAATTCCCATCTTGAATTAATTTCACTGAAACATTTGCCTCCATTGGAATATTGACCCTCAACTGTTGTTCTAGTGACAACTAAAATGTTGGATTTCCCCTCATTTTCTCTCCCTGTACCAATGGTCACAGTACAAATAGAGGGGTGAATCTCCCCTACGGAGACACAGACAGCAATAAAAACTTGACAGTGGGTCTAAACTTACCTGTTCCCTGTTCTTGATTGATTTTTTTACAGTTCCGTATTCAACCTTATGGAAAAACATTTTTGTATTTTAATTGTTTAATGACGATCTATTTCTCTAGTGTTATCGGTGCAGCTTCTGGACTCTGGCCTGAGATGCTTCTGCATCCTGGGCCAGAGCCTTTCCCCACTATTACCATTTACAGATATATATTTTGTCTTTGTTGATTCATTATGTATGTTCCTATTTTGGCTGTTGTCATTCTTACCACTTGTGTGTTTTTTTTATATTAATATAATAAAACATGTTCCATTTTATCTAGTGTTTCCATGTTGTGCATTTCTATACTTTTATATGGTATGGTGTCTTGAAAAGCCCCATTAGTTTTTCCTCTGTTAGGGTCTTTGCTTTTTTCTGATTAAATAGGGGTGAGGCACCTATAAAACCACTACACAAGGACAGGTGAGATTGAATGTCTCTCCAGCTCTCATCCAATTTTCCTACCTAACAATATCAGCAAAAATAGCAAAAATATGTAGGCATAGAGCAAATCCTCCCGCCACACCCCCTAAAGCAGAATTACAAAAAAAAAAGATTAGTGAAACCCATAAGTGATTCCTTTATACTGGCTTCTGAAATTTACAAATGCAGCAATTTAGAAATTGGATGAAAGGTTTAGCACTGAGAAACACCTTTTGAAAGATAAATAGTGCATTTTATATACAACTATATAGATCAGATCAGTCCCTCGAAATCAGGGACATTTCGGAGGTATGCCCCCTGATGAAGCCACGTGACCGGTGGCGTAACGCGTAGGGGCTCTGACGTCCCCACACTCCCAGTCGGCTTTTATACGGCGAGTACAGCTAGTGTGCGGTGCACACAAGGAAATATGCATTAAGGCTTGTTTTAATTATTTAAATACTTCTGGAGAGGATTATTCCCCTTGGAGGTGAGAAGGAGGAAACAATCATCCATCCATACATCCACAGATCTGCATAGGATAGTAATGAGAGGAAAGACACCAGGTGGATAATCAGGAAACTACGCTGTGGACACATTCAAAGAAGGTGGTGAACATCAGTGCACATTTTATCCTTTTAGGATAAACAGCTTGTTTAGCCTGTATTTGTGGGCTAAAAATGGAGGTAGGCGCATAATTGAGCTTCATATATACCGCAATCATCTATATGTTGGAGTGAATTCACCCATTTGTACCTATCTCTCAGAAAAGGAGGATTTTCCTTTATTTGATATTGGACACATAATGATGTTCCTACACTAATATTTCTCTATACCCTAAAGGGATCATTTGGGCGTTTTTGTGTTTTTTGTGTGTTGTTTGGACGGTATATTGTGAGGACACACACTGTTTTTTGTAGCTTGTTTGCATTGATATGGGAGCGCAGCACAGTTATTTATTTGTTTTTATGAAAGCCATAAGTGATTCCTTTATACTGGCTTCTGAAATTTACAAATACAGCAATTTAGAAATTGGATGAAAGGTTTAGCACTGAGAAACACCTTTTGAAAGATAAATAGTGCATTTTATATACAACTATATAGATCAGATCAAAATGAGGGACAAATGAGAAGGAAAGAGGGACAGAGGGACTTTGTTTCAAATGAGGGACAGTCCCTCGAAATCAGGGACATTTGGGAGGTATGCCATTGAGGCTATTTCTGTTCACATCCTGTGCCATAACCAAAATAGGAAGTGAACAGAAAATCCCTTTAAAGTGAGAGAATCCCCTGTTGTCACCAGAACTAGTTTCCCCATCGGAAGGTTTTCCCTTTATTTCTGATCTGGGCGTCAGCCCAAAATTTGGGATTTTCTTTTGCTTTCACTCTCAGTAGAAATGGTAAACAGGACAAACAGAAACGGTGAATCTCCCCAATGGGGTCATAAGGAGCAATACAAACCTAATAGGTGTTCTAGTACCTCCCCACTCTATCCAAAACCAAACATAAAAACAAGTTGCCTTTAGTTATGCCTTAAGTTATAAGATCCCTGTAAAGATTAATTTCAGTATTGACTTTGGTACTGTAAAGCCCATATTTCTAGTTAACGCAGAATATATAATAGACAGCAGATCGACACTTATTTTAATTTGGCGCATTAGACATCTTGTCAATTTTTGGGAGACGATTAACAGCAGAATTGTCCTGTAATGAATCCCTTTACAACAGAGTTATGCATATATACATTGCTGTCTTGTTTTAGGGAGCATTCCATCAGCACTCCAAGAATGGTGACCGAGCTGTCACAGACAGAGCTGGTAGGTGGGGCTCTCGAAGTGTGGCAAGATATTGAGCTTTGCCGTACAGGTTCTGGGCATCAGAGGCATCATCATTTAAAGTGGCTGCTGTAAAAGGGTTAAAGGATAACTAGACCCAAGAACAAATATCTAATATATTGCAATTTACGGTCCTTAGATGTGGTGGCTGCGTTCGTTTTTTTTTTTCCCCTTTTTTCAGACTAAGAACCACTTAATCTGCTTACCAAACTTTATTTAGCCAGATGGATTCCTTATTATTATTAAAATTTTGTTTAAAATAAAGTGACCCCGTTACAAACTATAATGGTCTCTTTATTCTTCAAACTATAACTGCTGTTAATTGGAAGAGATACGTAACTGAATAGGTGTGGAGTAAAAAGGTATTTTCTGTTGGGCTTCACTGAGCTGTAAAAAAAAAAATTCTATCAGCCGTCTCTGGCACGTAACAGCCGACCACAGAATTTGTATATTTCCATCTCCCCGGTATTTGCATACACAGTGTGTGGGGGGAACACCTCCCCTGTCACTCTCTCTATATATATCTCATTGTACAGGAGACGTCTTCTAGTTTGGATCTGACCCTCCAGAAACATCAAGATGCTTTCTCCCAGTTATCTGCTGGCTGTCATCTTCATTTCTATTCAGGGTGAGAGATGAGGCTCCTTCCATCCTCCTCTGCACATACATCTATACATTGTACAATAAATACACACATCAGGATTGATAGGAAGATATCCAGACATTGATCAATAATCAATATGTCTCTTCCCATCCTCAGGATCCTGTGGAGAGATTGTGATGACTCAGACTCCGGATTCTATCTCTGTGTCCCCGGGACAGACAATCACCATCACATGTACATCTAATAATTACATTGGGCTTGCAATAGCCTGGTACCAACAGAAGCCCCACCAACCTCCAAAGCTTCTTATAGATGGTGCACGCGATCGTGCATCTGGGATCCCGGACAGGTTCAAGGGTTCAGGATCTGGATCTGAATTTGAATTAACTATTACTGGAGCAACTGAAGATGATGAAGGGAAATATTACTGTCAGCAGTATTGGAACACACCTCTCACACAGTGATACAGAGCCGTACAAAAACCTCCTTCCTCTTTTATTCCCCATGTGGAAGAAAAACATATTTTAAATATTTTTAAAAAATAGTCGTCCCAAATATATTGACATTTATTTGAAATACTACAATTTTGAACATATTCAATATATTTCCAAAATATATGTCAATACATATATACTGTATGTTGAAATGCATTTTTTATATATTAAAAAATATATGAAAAATATTTGTAAAAATACATTTTCAAATATATGTCTCTGAAAATATATTTAATCTGCATTTTTGGAATGCATTTACAAATATATGTAAAAATATATGTTAAAATTACTTTTTTATTTGTAAAAAAAATAAACAATATATTTAAAAAATATATATTTTTAAATGTATGTCTTTAGAAAATATATTTAAATTTGCATTTTTTAAAATACATGTTACAATATATTAGCGTAGGCCAATATATATTATAAATATATGTCACATATATAATTTGTTTTCTAAATACATTGGAATATATTTCTCTTCTATGTGGGACAGTATTACAGTCACAGACCAGCTAACCAATATTTTTTCAAATGTATGTTATATACAAATATCAAATCAATTGGAAAATTAGGAAATAGGAAAATGAATCATAAGAGGAATCTGAATAAAGCAGAAGAAGGGTAAGTTTGTAGTGATAACATTGCATCCAATCATTGAACTATATTATATTTCTAGCATTTGACTTCATACAGTCTTTGTGTATACATAGGGGCTGTCTCAGACCATGTTGCTGGGGATATCAGTTCCTCTCCTTATGCCACTACTACTTCCATCTACACCCATCAGTGCCCAGGGAATGAAAACTAAGAGACCTCCAGAGATTCTCCCAACCCTGTATTAATCCAATCCAGCTCTCAAATCACTGGAACTCCAATGGCCAAGTATCCCTTCATTGCAGGAATTAGAGCGACGATAGTGATTTGTATAATCTTTAGAAAAGTAGATGAATGGATATATGTATAAGGAGAATATGATTTTTCATACATATTAAAGAGGAATTTTTGATAAACATTTCGTTCTTAGACATGGGAAAGTCATTCACGAAATTTTTTAGGGATGTCACCATTGCTGCATTTATCAAAAATTCATGTTGTTTAGTTGTCAAATGAATTCAAAGCCTAAGTCACGGTCCCAGAACAGGCATGTAGATTACAAGCCCTGACTGTACTGTTTGCTGCATGCGTATTTCCAGTCTAAGACTTAGATAATGTTGAGATTAAAAGAGAGTATAGTTATCCCACGCCTCCTATGTGTGAAATCTAAAATAAAAATACTGAAAAAATCAACCTATAATATGCTGGGGTGGCTGCAAACAACCAAAGTGTTCCCAAAATTGAATTAGTGTCCCAATAAGTGTGACGTTGCACCTCTCTAAGAAAATATATTGCCACAATGTGCGAAATATTATGCAACCAAATGTAATAAGGCCTAAGATATCACATCCGTATCATAAATCTATAAATGTCAATTGCTGATGACCATCCTCATAAGTTGCTGGTGAAAATCAACATAAACAAATGACATGTCCACAATTTATAAGATATGCGTATGCTTTCTTCAAAGTATATGTGTTCCACCTCCTGTGTTGGTTCCGAAACATGCAATCGTGTTATCCACCACAGCTCAATCCTGCACTCACCTCCACTCTGGGACATGTCCACTTACAGGTCAGATGTGCTTATTCCCCTGATCTGGGATCCTTGGGTCGGCTCCTCTCATGTGTATGGGCTCCCCTTTTGTTGTTATCCCGTCCTATGTCCACTCCATGCCGCACTCTAATTTTGGTGGCCTAGCCCTTTAAATGTACGATCCCTGTTTCTGCGGAGCACTCACATAGAGAGGGAGATCCCCATAGTGTAGTATGTTAGAATATTCATTTATACAAATCAAAATTGCACTCACATTAGATAAAATATGAAGAGGCAAAAATCACAAATAAATAAATACCATATGGACTGCGCATAGGCTGAGCAAACAATAAACACTTAGTGACAACAAATAAATAATTTGTGACATTCAATAAACATTTGTTATACAGGTATTAGTAATCATTCCCAGTATGTGAGGATAAAGCGCAAAAGCGCAACATTCTTGATTGTGAGCTCCATGTACAGTAACAGGAGCTCCTCTGTGCTCAGACTGGTGCCCCACATGAATATGTACTCACCGTCATCCCATGACCACCTATCTCTAGGATGGTCGTTTGCACTTTTGGGACTATTCCAGTGTGCAGCGTTGTTATGGTAACTAATGTTCCTTCACAGGGGCTATGTAGCGTTGCTAATGGTAACCGATGTTCCTTCACAGGAGCGATGCAGCGTTGCTAATGGTAACCGATGTTCCTTCACAGGAGCGATGCAGCGTTGCTAATGGTAACCGATGTTCCTTCACAGGAGCGATGCAGCGTTGCTAATGGTAACCGATGTTCCTTCACAGGGGCTATGCAGCGTTCTCATGGTAACCAATGTTTCTTCACAGGGGCTATGAAGCATTGCTCATGGTAACCGATGTTCCTTCACAGGAGCTATGCAGCATTGCTAATGGTAACCGATGTTCCTTCACAGGGGCTCTGCAGCGTTGCTAATAGTAACCGATGTTCCTTCACAGGAGCTATGCAGCGTTGCTCATGGTAACCGATGTTCCTTCACAGCTGCTATGCAGCATTCTCATGGTAACCAATGTTCCTTCACAGGGGCTCTGCAGCGTTGCTAATGGTAACCGATGTTCCTTCACAGGAGCTATGCAGCATTGCTCATGGTAACCGATGTTCCTTCACAGCTGCTATGCAGCATTCTCATGGTAACCAATGTTCCTTCACAGGGGCTCTGCAGCATTGCTCATGGTAACCGATGTTCCTTCACAGGAGCGATGCAGCGTTGCTAATGGTAACCGATGTTCCTTCACAGGGGCTCTGCAGCATTGCTCATGGTAACCGATGTTCCTTCACAGGAGCTATGCAGCGTTGCTAATGGTAACCGATGTTCCTTCACAGGGGCTATATCAATACCAGAATTCCTCCTCTCCTTCACAGGCAGTAATGCAAGTAATCAGTATAAAAATAAAATAAAAAACAAAAATGGGCAACCCATAGTGTAAAACTGTAAAACCTTTAATGGTCGGGACAAACGGTAAAAGTGCAACCTGGCTCTTAGTGTATTCAGCCTTGTTGTCTCTAAATGAAAGAAAATGGCCGCCACGTTCCAGTGTGCATTCCAAAGGGCAGAAATTACGTCGGCAGAAGTTGTGTCATCATACCTCGATGCGTTTCGATCAATGGATCATCAGGAAGTGCAACCTTACTTAAGTGCCAGGTTATGGGCACTTCTTTTGTGAGTTGCATTTTTACAGTTTGTCCCCACCATTAAAGGTTTTATGGTTTTACACTATGGGATGTCCATTTTTGTTTTTATTTTTATGCTGATTACTAGCATTACTGCCTGTGGAGGAGAGGAGGAATTCTGGTATTGATATAGCCCCCATTAACCACTTCAAGTCCGGACACTTTTACCCCCTTCCTGTCCCGGACAATTTTCAGCTTTCAGTGCTATCACACTTTGAATGACAATTGCGCGGTCATGCAACACTGTACTCATATGAATTTTTTAGCATTTTTTGAGACAGATAAAACTTTACTTTGGTGGTATTTATTCACCACTGGGATTTTTAATTCTTTTTGCTATATAAATGAAAAAGTACAAAACTTTTGAAAAAAAGTGTTTTTTTTACAACATTTTGCAAGTAAATAATCTTTCTTCATAAATCTTGGCCAACATTTATTCGGTTATCTTTTCAGTACAAAAAAAATCACCCAAATTAGTTTATAACCAAAAAATTATGATTTTTCAAAAAATGTTTTTACCTTTTATTTTTATTTTTTTATATTATTTATTTATGTTTTTTTAACATACTGTCACCCTAGCAGTACAGTGTCACCATAGTGACACTGTACTACTTGTGGGGGGGTGATGAAGATTTTTTTTTTTTACACTGATTGCTTTTACACCCATAAAGGCTGTTTCTCCTTCTCTCTGGCTGCATTCTTGCAGCCATTGAGAAATACTGTGTGAGCTTTGATTGGTCACAGCTTGTTACATGGTATAAGACTGTTGTAAATAGGCTTGTACCATGTGACCTCTGTGATCATTTATAGATTTCACATGTAGTAAGTAATGATGTCAGGAAGTGACATTTTGCTTACTACTATTCATGTGATCACTGATTGACCAATCAGTGATCACATGATTGGGACCTCACACAGAGCTCCTGTACAGCGATCGGTGTTCCCAGGGAGCGCGCACAGCCTGAAAATACCGCTCCTGCACTGCTCCCGTCTGGCCGTTTATGAACATGGGCCAGATGGGAAGTGGTTAAGGAACATCGGTTACCATGAGCAACGCTGCATAGCCCTTGTGAAGGAACATCAGTTACCATTAGCAACACTGCATAGCCCATGTGAAGGAACATCAGTTACCATTAGCAACACTGCATAGCTCCTGTGAAGGAACATTGGTTACCATTAGCAACGTTGCTTAGCTTCTGTGAAGGAACATCGGTTGCCTTTAGCAACACTGCATAGCTCCTGTGAAGGAACATCGGTTACCATTAGCAACACTGCATAGCTCCTGTGAAGGAACATTGGTTACCATTAGCAACACTGCATAGCTCCTGTGAAGGATTGGTTACCATACAAAGAAAAAACTGATCACCTGCCCAGGTCTATAACTGGCTTTTTAAACAGTGAACATGGAAGGCGTCACAAATTAAAACATAGAACTATCCAGTTCAACTTGCCAGCCTACCCCAGTCTAATAATGGCTATTGTCGGCAAGGAACATGGATAAGTATAACTTATCGTAAGAGGGGGATAAGAAAGCCAGTTCAAACTGCCAGCCAGTTGGCCAACTTTCAAAAACCAAATAAACCTGTCTAAGAACATGCGTTTAAAAACAGGGGTTTAGTTAGCACACATTTGCAAATACATACGTAAGCCACAGAGCCACGTCACGGCACCCTGAGTATCTGTGGTCCTAACTCTATAAATCTTGAGAGTCCTCACAATGGAGGCACATGCATTTAAATGGGATAGAAACAAGGGCAGGTGAACCTGAGGGAGCCCACCCCTCATTAAGGTCATGGGAGCACACCTGACACCCAGCATATAGCACAACAGCAGCCAAGGTGTCCAATGCACCCACTGAACCTCCAAAATTAACATACAAAGAAAAAAACCATTAGCAACATTGCATAGCCCCTGTGAAGGAACATTGGTTACCATAACAACACTGCACACTGGGATAGTCCCAAAAGCCCAAACAACCATCCTAGAGATAGGTGGTCATGGGATGACGGTGAGTACATACTCATGTGGGGCACCAGTCTGAGCACAGAGGAGCTCCTGTTACTGTACATGGAGCTCACAATCAAGAATTTAGCACTTTTGCGCTTTATCCTCACGTACTGGGACTGATTACTAATACCTGTATAACAAATGTTTATTGAATGTCACAAATTGTTTATTTTTTGTCTCTAAGTGTTTATTGTTTGCTCAGCCTATGCGTGGTCCATATGGTATTTATTTATTTGTAAATTTTGTGTATATGAGTTTACAATTAGGACTGCTGCTTAATACGGGTACTTGACATTAATATTTCATTCATAAACGCAGCAGCATTTTTTTATTTTTTATAAGTCGCAGATAGCGGGGCCGCTAAACTCACGTCACTTCCAGTCTCGGCTCTCTGACGTCCGGCTCCGCCTACACATGTATCATCACGGTCATGTGACTTCTTCAGTAGTACGTGGTCGGGGAGCAAGTGGATCTCTTTATACCGGCATCCAAACAACATCCATAGAGACTGGAACTGCACCTTGTGATATATACTCTCGGACTTCTCATAATACACTTTAACCCATTGAATTTAAACTTACAATACAAATAAAATGTTCCATATGACAACATATAAAACTATACATTCATATAAAACCTTCTCTACTCCATGGCGCCACCTTGTGTTAAGGTTACTAATAGCGATGAATTCTCATTAAAGTGATACCTAAACCTCTCTATCCCCATCTTGTGGTAAAATAGGAGATGACTGCCCTCCATAAAGCCCATATAAATATACACTATATTGCCAAAAGTATTGGGACACCCATCCAAATAATTTGATTCAGGGGTTCCAATCACCTCCATGGCCACAGGTGTACAAAATCGAGCACCTAGGCATGCAGACTGCTTCTACAAACATTTGTGAAAGAATGGGTCGCTCTCAGGAGCTCAGTGAATTCAAGAAAACATACCATGATAGGTTGCCACCTGTGCAATAAGTCCATCCGTGACATTTCCTGGCTACTAAATATTCCACAGTCAACTGTTAGTGGTATTATAACAAAGTGGAAGCAACTGGGAACAACAGCAACTCAGCCACCTAGTGGTAGGCCATGTCACATGACAGAGCGGGGTCAGTGCATGCTGAAGTGCACAGTGCACAGAAGTCACCAACTGTCTGCAGAGTCAATAGCTAAAGAACTCCAAACTTTATGTGGCCTTCAGATTAGCACAACAACAGTGCATAGAGAGTTTTATAGAATGGGTTTCCATGGCCGAGCAGCTGCATCCAAGCCTTACATCACCAAGTGCAATGCCAAGCGTCGGATGCAGAGGTGTAAAGCACGCCACCACTGGACTCTAGAGCAGTGGAGACATATTCTCTGGAGTGATCTGTATGGCAATCCAATGGACATGTCTGGGTGTAGTGGTTGCCAGAACGGTACTTGCCTGACTGCATTGTGCCAAGTGTAAAGTTTGGTGGGGAGATTATGGTATGGGGTTGTTTTTCAGAGGTTGGGCTTGGCCCCCTAGTTCCAGTGAAGGGAACTCTTAAGGTGTCAGCATACCAAGACATTTTGGACAATTTCATGCTCCCAACTTTGTGAGAACAGTTTGGTGATGGCCCCTTCCTGTTCCAACATGACAAAACAAGGTCCATAAAGACATGGATGAGTGAGTTTGGGGTGGAGGAACTTGACTGGCCTGCACAGAGTCCTGACCTCAACCCCATAGAACACCTTTGAGATGAATTAGAGTGGGGACTGTGAGCCAGGCCTTCTCGTCCGACATCAGTGCCTGATCTCACAAATGCACTTCTGAAAGAATGGTCCAACCTTCCCATAGACACCCTCCTAAACCTTGTGGACGGCCTTCCCAGAAGAGTTTAATCTGTTATAGCTGCAAAGGGTGGGGCCAACTCAAAATCGAACCCTACGGACTAAGACTGGGATGCCATTAAAGTTCCTGTGCGTGTAAAGGCAGGCCTCCCAATACTTTAAGTGAACGTATCGGTATAATACTAAGTGATATCACAAAATAATAAAAATTAAACAAATGAAAAAAAAACCCCTGATGCCAAAAACCCCGAAAGTTCAAAAACAGTCCAACTTTAATTCAGCATCTCTGTGTCAAACAACCAGTGCTATAATATTTTCTTAGTGAATATTCTTCTTCCACAAAATCCAAAGAATCCTCTTCCTCCTATTATTGCCTTCAAAAAAATATAAAATGCATATAGTGCATTATCGACAACGAATGATATTCAACATAACAAAACGCACTTTACAAAAATTGTACCAAAATGTGCACCTTTAACCATCCGTCATTCTTACTCTTACCCTCTTATAAATTAAAAAAACTTCTACACCATCTTCCTTTGTGATTAGGTTACTGAATCCGTCTGCCATCACATAGGAGGTGCACTTCCAAAAAAATCACATAAGTTATAGTATCATCAAAATATTTTTATTTATTTTCACTCTTCTCGTGCTCCCTCTCTCCCAGTGCTAGTGTGCACATGGACCGCAACCTCTTATGCACCATACCAAATAACAAGATCCATATGCTTTTATAAAAAAAAAAGCCTCAGATGAAGTCGGAAGTGACGAAACGTGTCAGAACATGACGTCGGACGTAAACCGGAAGTTGCGTAGTGGCCATTTTGGAAAAGGTTTTTACACTGTTTCTCCAGTCTTATACATGCTGAGATATCTCATCTTTTTTGTAAGCACAATTTGATCATTAAAGGAACTTTAACCCTATTATTGCCTACTACACTATGTTGGTTATACTTTGTCACATGTTTTGATGCCATTGGAGAACTGGAGGATATATACAGCGAGAGGAGCCCCCCCCCCCCCCCCCCCTTTTTTTTTTATAAAAGCATGCAGATCAATGCATTTATTATTTTTTGTCAAAAGGTGAACCTATCATTTAACTATTAATTCCGAAGTCATTCAGTGATGTACTCAAATTAAATTTATATCATTTTTTTTTACACAAATAGATAGAGCTTTCTTTTGGTAGTATTTGATCACTATTTTTGTTTTTGCAATATAAAAAAAGACCACAAAATTAAAAAAAAGCAGTATTTTTTACTTTCTGATATAAAACATATTCAATAAAAATTAAAAAAAACTAAAATGGTTCCAAATATTATTTTGATACATTGTTTGGCAGCCCTCAGTTTAACATGATATTCTACCATCTAGTGGCCACATGTTGCTATTACAAGTCTTTAACTAATGTGTGTTATACTCATGAAAAAAATGAATTTGCAAATGTATTCACATCATAAAGGTTGAGGACATTCTGGACTGTCTATAATCATGGGCCTGATCAAGTGAACTGGACCAATGCTGAAAATTCTATCCTGTAACTCATTTTCCATTGCAAACAATTACAGAAGCGGTCTGTGATACGGTGCTGCATTACTTTAACTGACAATTGCGTGGTCATGCAACGCTGCACCAAAATGAAATTGACGTCCTTTTTTCCCCATGAATTGAGCTGTCTTTTGGTGGTATTTGATCGCCTGTGCGTTTTTATTTTTTGCGCTATAAAAAAAAAGTCCGACAATATTGAGGAAAAAAAAAACAATATTTTGGACTTTTTGCTATTAAACATGTCCAGTAAAAAAAAATAAAACTCAAATTTTGTCATATATTTAGGCCAAAATGTATTTTGCGACATATTTTTGCTAAAACAAAAATCCCAATGGCGATGATCAGCGACTTATGGCGGCAATCAGTGACTTATGGCGGCAATCAGCGACTTATGACGGGAATACAGCAGACATTCTGACACTGGGGGGGAACTGTTTGGGGTCACTGACATCCCCAGTGACATCAATATAGTGATCAGTGCAAAAAAAAACCCCACTGACACTGTACTAATGGCACTGGGGAGGAATGGTTAACATTTGGAGGAAATCAAAGGGTTAACTGTGTGATGGGAATGTTTCACTAGGGTGCGTGTACTTCAGTGTAAGCACACTGATCTGGAAGGTTGAGCTCATCCATCCGGACCAGTGTGCTCAAATGGACAGGGAGAAGAGCTGCATTGAAAACAATGCAGCTGTGCTCCCTGTCAGTGTTTGCCAGTAATTGTCGGGCTCCAGCGATTATCTGTATAATAATAATTATTATACAGGATTTATATAGCGCCAACAGTTAGCGCAGCACTTTACAATATAAAGGGAGACAGTACAATTACAATACATTTCAGTACAGAAGGAATAGGAGGGCCCGGCTCATGGAGCTTACATTATAAAGGAAAGGGGAGGTGATACAAAAGGAGAGGAGAGGACGGTTTGGACAATATCTGTGGATGAGATTGGTGATGTAGCTAGGAGCAGAGTTGTGGATGACTTTGTATGTTGTGGTGAGTTTTTTTAAATGTATACGTTGGGTTAGTGGAAGCCAATAATCAGCCACTATTTATTATTTTCTTCTTTTTTTATAAAGATGTTTTTATTTATTTTGATTTACATATACATTACAATAAAACATTACAACTCTCTTGTCTTGGTACTCAGTGGTACAAGTCAGTAAACACATGATACGGCCCTGGCAGATAATGTAGTGTAGTAGAGTTTGCATTCCAACATACAAAACTTAAAGTGGGACTGCATTGCATCTGAGCACCACAAACCAAAAATGCTATATCATTCCTTAATAATATTCAAAACAAACTCCTCCATCCATCCATGTCTCCATGCTTTATTTTGTTGCAAAATCATTTTGAAAAACACCTCCTGGCATTTCGGACAGTGGCCACCTTGAGTGAGTGCAGATGATTCATAAAGCAATGACTTCCAGGAATCCATCTATCCTTAGCTCAGGCATCGGCTGAGAACCCTCCCTCCCCTCCTGGAGACTTCTGGGATGTATCAAAATGAGGAAGTAAATGAAGGAATGCAAAAAAAAATGGTTGAAACAAGTAAATGTGATTTCCTTTGTACTTTGTACATCTATGTACTAATGCTAACAGCATAAGGATCAGAAATAGTCCATGTTGATTGAGAGAGTGAAGTTCCTCTTTAACTATGACCATTCAGAGCTCCCACACTGCTTACCTTAATCCAAGATAACACGCTGAGAGCAGCTAATACCACAATGTGTTTCACACAATCAATCAAAATAAATTAAGTGCAGCGCTCTCTCTTTACCCCAAAAGCCCTATTTGCACCTTAATATTACTACCCCAACAAGAATCCTAGGTGGTAATCAATCACAAGGTCTCATAATCTAAAACAACACATGCACAATCAATTCTCCAAAAAGATATGTGTATAAAAATTGTGAAAAAATTTGTAAATTTTTTTTTATAAATAAGTCAAACCGGGAATTTTGAGTTTATATAATAAAAGAACAAGGAGTGGAAACTGCATTTATTTTTTTACATACTCCCCTGCTACATGTATACACTTATTCTAGCGTTTACCTAATGCCTGGAAAGCATCGGCATAAAAAGATTTGTCAGTACGCCTGAACCGTCCTAGGATAGACTACTTCACTTCAACATCACTCCTGAAATGCTGATTAGTCTGATTTCAAGACAGGTTATGCGTTGATTATCCAGGATCCTGCATTATACTAGACATATACTGGACCTCTTATGTTATAGGAGGTCTATACATCATGTGTCACCTCTTAGCAGCTATTTCACACCTCTGCTGCTTGCACAGGTTTTCAACCTCACCCCCTCATTCTCCGCCCGCATCACTCACCTCCTAAACGACATCTCTGACTGGATGTCGCTCAATTTCCTCAAACTCAACCTCTCCAAAACCGAGCTTCTCATCTTCCCCCCAGCCCGCGCCCCCCCCCCCATCCTTTCCATCACTACCAACAACACCACCATCAATCCCCGCCCAGCAAGCCAAGGTCCTTGGCGTCATTCTGGACTCAAACCTTTCCTTTCAACCTCATATCAAATCTCTCACAAACACATGCAGGCTCCACCTCCGGAACATCGCCAGGATACGTTCCTTCCTTACCCCAGACACCACTAAACTACTAGTACACTCCCTGATTATCTCACGCCTGGACTACTGCAACTCCCTCCTCACCGGCCTACCCCAGTGCAGGCTCTCCCCGCTTCAGACCATCCTGAACTCAGCGGCCAGACTCATCCACCTCACCAGCCGCTCCACCTCTGCCACCCCCCTCTGCCTCTCCCTCCACTGGCTCCCCATTGCCCAACGCATTAAATTCAAATTGCTCACCCTGACCTATAAGGCCATTCACAACACTGCCCCTAACTACCTCACCGATCTGATCCCCAGGTACCACCCTACCCGTACCCTTCGCTCTTCACAGGACCTTCTTCTATCTTGCTCCCTGGTCTCCTCCTCCCACGCACGACTGCAAGACTTCTCCAGGTCCTCCCCCATCCTCTGGAACTCACTACCCCAATCCAACAGACTGTCACCGTCCCTCCTCACCTTCAGGCGCTCCCTGAAAACCCACCTCTTCAGGGAAGCCTACCCCACCCTCACCTAACAGCCTCTGCCCTTCCCTCCTCCTACCACTTCATCCCCCGCAGCCGCTTCCTCCGGTGCCTCTACCCCCTCCCTCCTAGATTGTAAGCTCGAAAGAGTAGGGCCCTCTAACCCCTTGTGTACTGTTTGATGTTACTGTTCTGTTTCATGTATTGCCCCCCCTATTGTACAGCGCTGAGCAAACCCTTTGGCGCTATATAAACACGATAAATAAATAAATAAATAAATAACCTGACATGAATCCTCCCCTCGTAGGAACAGAAATAGGTAGACCATAGTGCTCTCAATTTAAACATTTATTGCCCCATGAAAAATCATGTTAAAACACTCACATTTATTCAGTAGATAATGCGCTCTTGGGTAAATCATGCATCCCAATCTGGAAGCTGATAGATACCATCCTGCAAAGACAGTATCTGCTGTGTTTGTGGTAGAGCCCAGCCTAGCAGGATGTCATTGGCACTCCCAGCTGATGCATTGCGTCCCTATTGGACTTCCTCAGAGACAGCTATCTGATATACCCAAGAGTGCATTACCTTTTTGGGGAGAGTGCTGCATTAATTTATTTTGAAAACCTGACTAATAAATACCTGGATCCAGGGGAAGTTTATGTGTTGATATAACACAAGAGCCCCATATCATTGAATATTTATAGCTTCTATCTGAAGTTAGGTTTTTCCATTAATTGAAAGAGGGGGAGGATGGTCTCTTCCATGTTAATAGGAAAACCTTTTTAAAATATAAAAATCGAAGTTTTTGCAAAGGTATTTTGTTATTAGATCTGTATGTCAACTAGGATACTCAGTGTAAATGGGTTAATTTCAATCAAGGAGTACAGTTGGTGTACAAACCTTATACCATAGAAAGACCAATATTGTGCACCTGGGAAAGACAGAAATTCTGATATGGAGGGGCTTGACCTCAGTGGGTTGTGACCAGGGCCGGGGTACCAGGGGTGGACTGACAACTCATAGGGTCCCCCCGGCAAAAGGAGATCATGGGGCCCCTCTGTCCTTGCCCAAACTCAAAAAAGCCTATGAAAAAGGTACCAGGGATCTCATGGGGCCCCCTACTGACCCTGGGCCCTTGGGCAGTGCCCAAGTTTTCAAATGGTCAGTCCGCCCCTGGCCGGCACTAGACTATTTTATGCTCTAGGCAAGGCCAGCTACAGCCCCCCCCCCCAAAATAAATAAATAAATAATTTTAAAAAACAGTAGAAAATATGAAATAAAAAAAACATGAAACTGCTAAATTTCTTTAATCTGCAAAAATAAGTGCCATAAGATGCCACCAGTACCAATATTAAAGACAAAATCAGTGTCACGCACGGACTGTATCTGTGGCTGGCAGTGGCAGGGTGACAGTTGCAGTGAGTGGAGGATGATGGATCCACACTCTGACAGATCCCAGGCTGGAATTCCACAGGCAATGGGGGGAGTCAAAACGCTGTGACAGCAGGCAGCCCAGCCCACACACAGAGAACACCTGAACTGAGCCATCCCAAACAGTGACAGATCCGACACAACACACACCACCACCAACACTGACACAGATCAGCAGGCACTTGAAGAGCAGGCTGTGGGATCATGATGTTGTCATCATTCAATGACACATTACACATGTGAGGGATGGCTGGCCAGGTTGCACTCACACAGACATGAGACATCAGTCAGACATTACCTTCCTCCGCAGGTGCAGCTCCACCTCCACTGATGAATGGGAAGAGAAGGGCTGGAACTCCATTGTTATCAGCAGCCGCCATCTGGCTTGCAGTAAGGGACTGAGTCTGAGAGGAACACTGGAAGGAGCAGCAGATCAGCTGCTACACTGGCCCCAGACACCCTGTATCTTCCTCTGTCCTTTCTTCCTCCCCTCTGCCACCCCTCCCCTCAGCTGAGGGATCATTCATGACATGGTGGAGTCCCACACAGAGAGAGTGTGCTGCACCCAGGTGCCCCTAGGTGGCCTAGTTTTGCTAGTGGAAGCTCCGGCCCTGGTTGTGACTTGTGGGGGAAATCTTTATGATATGAAATAAATTGGTAGTAGGGGTTCGGAGTAATTTTGTACTTTGAATAGAGGGAGCAGATCACAGATCACCTATATACATAGAGTATATCCAGTATTGTATAATTCATAAGACATGATAATGGGAGCTTCAGTAGGGATTCAGGGTGTATCTCCCCCCACGCAGCCAAAATCTGCCCTAAACTGCCCAATCACACACATGGCATGACCTTGCATTGCCACAATGGTATTATTTAAAACTGAACCCTGGGATAAGCAAAATACTGATCATATACAAGAGGCTTGTGTATTTCTGACTTGAATGGTGATGTGCATTCTGTAATTCTTCCAGATCTGTGCAGTAATTCAGCATGAAACTTTACTTCTGTGCAGGAGCTTCTTGTAACAAAGACCTGTCACTGCTGCTTTCTCTCCTTGTGCAGGATGACTGGTCTTGTCTCCACCCCCTCCTGTAGTTTCTGCAGACAGCCTGTACTGGGTGGAGCCTAATGGGGTCCCTCCCCACAGCTCTTCTGCTCTTCAGGTTGTATACAGTGTAATGGTGATGTTTCACTACATTTAGAAGTTAAAAAATTGGGTTTGAAAAGGCATTTCATTTCATGCATTCAAAGTAGCTGTATGTCCTTTGGGGCCATTTGCATTGTATTAAAATGAAACAATATTTATGACTGGAGAGGCTGCGGCTTTATTAAGCCCTTTGGAAGTGAAACTGCAAATATGATGTACTGTGTGACTAATCTGATTTATATTTTAATCATTATCTGCCCTTAATAAGGAGAGTGGGAATAATAAGTGGGTGGATTTTAACTGCCAAAATGAAGATTCTTGTACTGACTGAGAGATAAACTGTTATAACTTTGAGTCTTGTCATTTTGAAATGGTGTACTGATGTTCAACTGATCATTTATCTGATTTTAATTAATGAGAGTGGGAAAATAAGTGGGACTAATGTGAAAAGTGGAGTTCAATTTTCTAGCCTTCTCAGATAACGTTCAGGTCATTTGAGTGTTTCTAGCACAGATCACTGATCTGAGAATTCTCATTTCCATCTCCCCGGTATTTGCATACACAGTGTGTGGGGGGAACACCTCCCCTGTCACTCTCTCTATATATCTCATTGTACAGGAGACGTCTTCTAGTTTGGATCTGACCCTCCAGAAACATCAAGATGCTTTCTCCAGTTATCTGCTGGCTGTCATCTTCATTTCTATTCAGGGTGAGAGATGAGGCTCCTTCCATCCTCCTCTGCAACATACATCTATACATTGTACAATAAATACACACATCAGGATTGATAGGAAGATATCCAGACATTGATCAATAATCAATATGTCTCTTCCCATCCTCAGGATCCTGTGGAGAGATTGTGATGACTCAGACTCCGGATTCTATCTCTGTGTCCCCGGGGGACAGACAATCACCATCACATGTACATCCAGTACTGGCACTGGGAATGAAATAAACTGGTACCAACAGAAATCAGGAAAGTCCCCAACACTTCTCATCTATAGTGCAGCTACCCGACACACAGGAGTCCCAGACCGGTTCACTGGCAGGAGTGATGGATATCCTTACACTCGTTACACTCTGACAATTACTGCTGTGACTGAAGATGATGAAGGAAGATATCTCTGTCAGCAGTATGATGAGTTCCCTCTCACACAGTGATACAGAGCCGTACAAAAACCTCCTTCCTCTTTTATGAAGAAACACAATCACAGATGTCACTCCGGGAACATTCAGTCACACACACATGTAATAAACGTCTCTGTTCATTATGATTGTTAGGGAGATTATTATTAATCATGTTGGCAATTTTACTTACTGGAAATGTGCAGAGAATTCGGGCTTCTGTTAGTGAACAAAGCGGCCAGGGATTGTTGGGGTTCGAGTGAGTGATCTGCCCAAATCTGGACAATAAGTTCCCCCATCCCCCAGACTCTGGACAGACTATGTTCTGGTCCAACTCAGAATCCACCTGAACCTGAACATATCCCCACCCTGGAGCATATACCTGCCAAACCCATCCCTGTGTGTACATGTCTCTACTCACTGATAGTCCCTACCTTATCCCTATAGGACATAAAATAATGGACTGATACTGCCATCTACTGGTGGTCTTTGAGGTTTTTTCCTACTTCCAGTTCCAGCTATATGCTCAGTATGGGGTAGATTTACTAAAGCCAAATAGACTGAGCACTTTGCAAGTGCAGTTGCTCCAGAGCTTTGTAAATGAACAGAAGCTCTGCTGACTTCCATCATCCAATCATGTGCAAACAAAAATGCTTTTTTTTTTATTTTTCTTGCACGTGATTGGGAATTCTTTTCAAAATGAAGCTTTACCTCATTTAAGCTCTGGAGCAACTGCACTTGCGGAGTATATCTGCACTTTGCAAAGTGCACAGTCTATTTGCTTTTATTAAACCAATCCCTATGTATGTATCCTGTTTGGTGTTGTCATTACACAGTGGGAGTTTTTTCCCCGGACTCCAGAAATTGAGTTAAAATGTAAAAACAGAAGTAAATGCTTCATTCATCACACATTTCCTGGGGTTCATAAAGGTTAACAAAAAGCTCTGACAGTAACATCTTTCAAGCACTGGGGGTGGAGATAAAAGTGTTTTCATCTGCTTTAACTTCCCACCTAAATTCTACCATTACACCCAGTTGGGGCTGTACACATGGTGTGGTCCTGCGGCATTGCTTTGTGGCCATGGCAATTTTAGCTCAGCTAGCAGAGTCTGATAGGTGACACAGCTAGTCAAACATGACCATTAAATTCAATGGGAGCGTGCCACAACCACAAGCCGAGCATTTGCAGTGCGGTGTTTTAAAGCAAAATTCACCTGGGATTTAAAAAAAAAAAAAAAACATACATTCAGGAGGTGGCAGGGATTGGCACCTGATTGCCTGGTAGCTGCAGCTATACTGCCCTCTGAATGGCAATCCAATGCTTTTCAGAGGGGTGGTAGTTGCTCCCAGCCCTGTGAAAGCACCCTAAACAAGGCTGATTTTTGTGTTTGTGAAGGTCATAAAAGACCAATAATTAGGAAGACAAACATTTCTTGAGGAAATAATTTAATTATTTTCTATTCAGGAACAAAATATAGGGAGATAACAATATTTCAGAAGAAACTTTCACTTATTTATACTGAGGAGTGAATGGCTGCCAAGATCTGTGATCATAGGGGGGGGGGGGGGGGGGGGCAATAATAATGACTTAGGAGTATAGAAATCTGGACCTGCTCAGGGGGCGGGGCTGTGACCAGACAGAGAAATGAATACAGGAACAGAAAAATGTGGTCATATACAGAATATTATTCAGACTAAAGCAGACATGTATCACCCTCGGGACATACCACTAGGACAACACTCTGATTTGGGGATATGATGTCATCCTAACAGGTGTTCCTCTATATGGTGACATCATTTACCAAAACGACCCGGCACACATTTCCATCGCAGAATATGAGATTGTATAGCAATTATTGAATGACCTATCAGTCCCTTCCATGGACATGGAGAGCTCTGACTTCTCCATACTGATCTGTTTCCTCTGTTACAATATGGGACTTTTCTTGGATTTTTGCCCCCTGGTCATTTCCATTCAGCAGTCAGTTTCTACCACACAGAATACTGCTAAGGAGGGGGAGGGGACGATTGTTTCTTCCAATATGAAGGTTTTAGTGTATTTCTGAGGTGAGAAGCTAGATCATCCACTTGTCCTGATTGATTATTCCTCTGTTATTGACATGTAATCTATAGTGTACTCCTGGAGACTGTGTATGGAATGATGATAATAAATGTAATAATGGGATGTGACATCACTGACAGGTCATTAAATATATATTTTCAGGTGCTCATATATAGACGCCAACAGGATTTACATGCTTCCTTTTCCCTATAATTTGTATACACAGTTGCTGGGATGTAACCTCTCCCATGGCACTTTTGGGTTTATATAGAAAGCATTTATTGGATGAATGTGACTGGCATTTGCCCATCCTTCATGAATTCTGGATGTATTTTATCAAACACAGTGATTTCCTATGATCCTCAGCTCCCTCTAGTGGCCATAATGTGGAGCTGAAATCAAGCACTGATGCAGGGCACTGCTGGGCACTGATGGGTGGCACTGCTGGGAAATGATGGGCAACCCTGATTATCAGTGCAGATCTGCTCTGTGAAATTTGCCAGTTATCAGCAGCTGTCACAGCGTGAGGAAAGCGCTGCCGATAACTAACAACTGGATTTAGTTTATGACTAGCTGCGTCGCTTGAGTTCAGAGCCCTTGGGGACACACTCACTCCCCACCTTATTTCCACTCGCCAATGCGAGCAGGTGAGTGGAAATTTCTAGGCCTGTTTCTAGCATTTGACTTCATAAAGTCTTTGTGTATACATAGGGGCTGTCTCAGACCATATTGCTGGGGATATCAGTTTCTCTTTTTTTGCCAAAACTACTTCCATCTACACCCATCAGTGCCCAGGGAATGAAGACTAAGACACCTCCAGAGATTCTCCCAACCCTGTATTAGTCCAATCCAGCTCTCAAATCACTGGAACTCCAATGGCCAAGTATCCCTTCATTGCAGGA